AAATCAAAAGAAAGAAACTCAATTAATTACAAATTAATGAATATTTTACCCAGTTCTAAAGTTTTGCACCCCTTAAAGAAAAACCCCATTCCTTACCTAGTACTTCATATTATACCCTTTAAGTGTTGCGTACATCAAGGTGTATCTTAAAGTATCTTGGTAGCAGAAAATAACTAAAATATGAGCAGACCTGGTGTGAGTCTGTGCCTGACATTTTAAACCCGCAGCCGCATAGCCGAGCCTCCGAGTCTTTGACTCCTCTGGTGTGAGGGAGAGAAGGGTCCATCTTTGATCGCTGGGGTGTCGGCGTGGAGTGGACACGCTAGTAACAGGTACGTTACTGAGAAAAAAATCCAACCTTGCCGTTAGTCCGAAAGGAAAAAAGGCGACGGTGTAGATTTTATTCTTTAAAGAATATTAACTGGTGTGTTAATACCTTTTTTAATCTCTGTCTCCTCTGGTGTGAGAGAGAAAAGAGAATGTCCTCTTTACCGTGGTGTCGGTGTGGAGGGAAGAAAAAACTAGCAACAGGTATGTTACTAGCTTGAAGAAAAAATCAAACCTTACCGTTATTTCGACAGAAAGAAACGGCGAGGCAGATTACAATATTAACTGGTGTGTTAATATTGCTCAGTCTTCTTGCAAAGCAAAAAAAGTAACCGGCAAGCGCCCGTCGACCGAATGTTAGCTTTGGGTTCAGTCTGTGGACCGTTAAGCTAGCCCGGTTACTGATAAATCGAGATGTGCTCTGAAGCGAGAAGAGGTGTTTGAATGATGCTGCGTCGTAGCGCAAGCTACTTAAAGGGTGGGTGGATTCCTTGACGTTGACGTCAAGATCACCAGCCAATCAGGATTGGCGTAATGAGATTGATGCTTCTGTTTGCATACGCGTTGAGGCGCATCCTATAGTGAGACATCGAACGGAGTGTTATGAATGAGAACTAGATTTATTCTCTCTCTCCATTCTTTCTAGTGAGCCGAGAGTGTGTGCTCGGGGGGTGGGGCTTAAGGGACGCATGCTCTGTGAGCGCACAAACGGGTTCTTCTGCTCTGACAGCCAGGCATGACGGGTAATCTGTGACGTTTCGCTCTCTCAAAAGTTGGGCCATTTTGACTTCATGCGCCAATGAGCAGCTCTCATAGGAAAGAACGAGGCCCCTCGCTGTATCCAGTTCTTATTATACATCCATGCTCAAGACGGGTAACATAACTACCCTCTGAGCGCTTAGTTCTCTCCGCCATGTGTTTGTGTGCGCACGTGTGTGTGTGTGTGTGTGTGTGTGTGTGTGTGTGTGTGTGTGTGTGTGTGTGTGTGTGTGTGTGTGTGTGTATGTGTGTTGCATGCATGTAGCAGGTTCTGTGCGTGTAAACTGCCCCACCCCCTCGCACACCGACAGGGGAGAGAGATCTCTCGTCTGGATTGGAAAGAACGAAAATAAATCATAGACGCACTTTGTAGTCTTATTGCATATTAGAAACGGAGTTGGCGACAGTAAGACTGCGATATAATGTTTATGTAGATATAATACATATGACATCTATTTTTTAAATGTCTCCCGTACCGATAAAAAGATCGATAACGTTGGACGTTAACGGTACCACGGTCTTTAATAATTCAGCCCCGGGGCCCCGTTAATACTGGGGCTCGGTACCCATCCCTAGTTTTAATTATTACATCATCAATATTACATTTCAAATAACCAAGTACTTGGTTACCAATACAAAGCGCAAGTGGCTAGTGCTGCTAAGAACATACCTGGTGATGGTGGCTCTTCGCTGCAGGATCTGGTCGATGTCCTCCTAGCAGAAGCGATTGCCTTCGTCGTTCTCGTCCATGATGGCGGCGTAGGCTCCTTTCCTCAGCAGGTCCTCGATCTCCTTCTTGGAGAACTGCTGGACCGGCTAAAGGCGACGCAGAGAGACATTTACACAAGTGGATTTAGAAAACTCTTTTTGAAAATAAACTAAGCGTACTGCAACAGCGACTGACCCAAAAATGACTTGGCGTCTAGAAATATGACAGATTTTCTTTTTCTCACCCCGTTGTTGTTGCCTTCTTTGTTGCCACTCGTGCTCTGCAGGACGGCACGGTCCAGCCCGAGCTTCAGACTAGCTTTATCCAGCATTTCCCTCTCATAGTTTCTAGTGATCAGACGGTACACCTTCACCGCCTTAGACTGGCCAAAACGATGACACTGAGCTTGAGCCTGAAATAAAAAATTAAAAGAGGGGTCAAAAGAGCATTGTGTGCAGCTGCTTTTCAACGTTTTTAAGCATTAAATGGTAAAATAATATACACTTAAAGAACCGAGGGAATAAACGGAAAGACTGTTGTTGTTGTTGTTGTAGCCCTATTGAACTATCTTTAGGACAGACAGAGCAGAGATATATATATCGTACCTGCAGGTCATATTGAGGGTTCCAGTCAGAGTGGAATATCACACAGGTGTCCGCAGCAGTGAGATTCACAAGTTCTTGATTAGGTGTTTGATGTGGGCTGGCATGATCCTTTCTGCAGCCATAAATAAAGAAAACAAAGAAGACATTATTAATAATAGTAATGATGGTAACAACAATAATATTAGTATAACTATTTATATAGCACTTACACAATAATTGCAAAGTGATTCTCACAACAAAAATAAAGAACAAAACGATATCAACAATAAAAAAACTAATGATTATAGGAATGTTAAGATACAAATAAATGATAAACATTCTGAGAGGCCGACTACAAAAGGTAGACTCAATGGCTCTTGATGACATCAATGAGCAGTCCCAACACATGCTGCTGTATCAAAAGAAATATGTCCAGATTTCTTCTATTTAGTGTTGGATGATTTGTTGTATTGATTGCTGATGGATGTTAAGATATGTTTTACAATTATAACAAAAAGATTATTGTAATTGGAATCAAAAAGTTTACAAATCGTAGTTTTAATAAAATGACTAGCAATATAGGATTTATTCAACAGCGGTAAAGCATTAAGTTGATAAATTAACGTACGCTGAACTGTAAAACTTACCACTATTTAGGAAAGGACCTGATCAGAAGGATTGACTAGTAAGACAGCAAAGAGGTGGAGGAGGTCTCTGTCATGTACAACCATTGGTAGATGTTACACCTGAAAGAAAGATAAGGAAATAAGAGAACACAGGAGGACAAACATCTTCTTAAGTAAAAGACCAAATCATGTCAAGCTTTACATCTTTCAGTTTTTACAATGCACTGTTGGAAATTACATTCCAAAAGCTAAATTCAAACTCAATACCATAAATAACTGGGTACCAAAGTGCTTTACCTGATAGAACACATTCCACACGGAGCAGCAACCATCCGGCTGGGCCTTTTACTGCATATCATCTCCTCCCTCTCCACTGTTTCCAGTAGATATCTGCTGCCTCTGTCCAATAAAACTGAAATGCCCCAAAACAATCATTTAAAAAGTTAAAAACAATAACTTGCTTTTGGCATTCAAATGTATTAGAATCTCACCTTTTTTCTGGATGTCAGGAAGGCCAGGAAGGCGTTCCCTTCAAGTCCGCAATCAGTCATAGGAGTTCAAATGCAAAGCCTGAACGATGACAAGAGCGAGACTTACATTTTACAAGATAAGTAATACCAGAGCAGTGTGTACGACATGCAGAGAACAGATCAAATCCCCTGACAGGCTCACACACTTTGGTGATGTTTCATTTTTAGCAGCAAAGTAACATTACTCAAGGTATATGTTGGACCCAACTCATGTACAGTATGTTTTGCATCTCCTCAACAATGGTCTGTATAGTTGAGTAGAAACAAACTGTCCCTACAGTTTCAGGTAGATTAACAAAGAAAAGTTTGGAATGAAACACAAAACCCCTCTTTGTATTAAGCTAGCTGCCACAGAAAGTACAGCTTAACATGCTAACCTGGTAGAGTTAGCTAACGTTAGCTAACTTAATGTCCAACTAAAAACCTCTAACGTGCATTACATTGACGATTTTAAACACAACTTAACTCTCTCAACTTGTAAAATAACGTTAATTTAACATATCTTTAAATAACTACATCACGTTTTTCAGGGGCAACACAAACTGCAGAAAACGTTAGCTGCTAACTGTTGTTAGCTAAGACAGCTAGCTCGTAACAATAGCCTCCTAGCAAACTTAAGGTTACGTTAACATTAACTTAACGTTGTAAGAAAGCAAAACGAACCTTCGAGACATCTTTTACTCTCAGACTGGGTGTAATTGTGTAGCGTTGCTTACCTCCAGAAGGACTTTTAGCTGTTTCCCAGTAGAGACTAGAGAGAGCTGTCAGAGCGGTTGCTCTCAGAAGAGCAGCATTGGGCGGACCAGATAAGACCAGAGAAGAACCAGTTAAGCACCAGAAAAGCACAAGAATGGTTCTTGAACCGGTTTGGTTTATTGGCAGTTTGCAAACCACTTAAGAGTACTGGAGTGTGAAACAAAAGCTATTGAGTCAGTGTTGTGGTGCTGTTGCTTTGGTATGGATCTGTGAGCTAACCACGCCCCGTTCATTTGCATATAAGGAATGGAAATGTATCATCATGAAATACAAGTCACCTGAAATAAATAAATGCGTCATTATGAAATACGAGTCTCTTGAAATAAATAAATATGTCATTATGAAATACAAGTCTCTTGAAATAAATAAATATGTCATTATGAAATACGAGTCTCTTGAAATAAATAAATGTGTCATTATGAAATAAAAGTCTCTTGAAATAAATAAATGTGTCATTATGAAATAAAAGTCCCATGAAATAAATAAATGTGTATTTAAATGTATATGTATACATATTTATTGCCTCATTTATTTATTTCAGAATGTATTTCATAGGCATATTTATATATACATATGTATTTATTTAATTATTTATTTATTTAATTTTGGCTTAAATGGCATTCCATACAATAAGCAGTTGGGATGATCCTCTGTAAACTGTCAACCGTAAACCGTAAAGAGACATCGCGAGGTTTTCACTCGCATCTCGCGATATTTAGTTGGGCACACGGCACAGTACTTCCATCATGGCAGGCAGGAAGTTAGTGCTAGAAGGAAGAGTAAGTATAAAAGCGTTTCTTTTAGGGCTCAGCGTGCTTGTAATCCCATTGATCAGGACGTGTTACGGACATGTTGACTGGGTCTTTGACTATCTGACGGAAACTCCCGGGAAGATAGTGATTTGCATCCACGTTGCGGTTATCAACGGCCTCTTGCTGGTCGCTTACAGAGGACCGCTGTACAAGGTAAGCTCTGACGGTAGCCGGCTGCTCGGCTTGTTCCTGGTCTGAACTGAGCTACAGTGACATGCCCTGTGGCTGTCCAGCACTGAAGTATTCCACCTCCTCCAGGCTAATGTAGAGACACTTGTCGGACAGCTTACTGCGCCCGTGTCAACTTTAGTGTTGCAATGCTACGTTAGCTAGCATTAGCTCCCTATTTAGTCAACTTGACTAATCTCATTAGCTAAAGAGGAATGAGACAGCTGGCGCTCAGGTGAACTCAAGCTGAGCCAGCTAAAGCTGCAGTGGATCAGTCCATAAGCCACCTCAAATGTAACATTTAGCTTTAGAAATTAAGTTGACAGGTGCTGCATAGCTGGGAGAAGTATTCGGATCTTGTACTTGAGTAGAAGTACCAGAGTGTAGGAATACTCTGTTACAAGTAAAAGTCCTGCAATCAAAATGTTACTAAAGTAAAAGTAGAAATTGTGCAGATTGATCCATTTCAGAATAATATCTATGATATGTTTTATAAAGATTGATCATGAAAGTGTTCTCAAAGCTGGTAAAGGTGCAGCTAGTTTGAGTGGTGGATTTACTCCAGGTGGAACTAAAGTCTGATTCAACACTTGATTATATTTCGCATCATTCATCCAGATCTGTGAAGTAACTAAAGGGATTAAATACATGTAGTGGATTAGAAGTACACCATTTACCTCAGAACTGTAGTGGAGTAGACATTGAAGTAAAGTACAGGTACCTCAAGATTGTTCTTAAGTACAGTACTTGAGTAAATGTACTCGGTTACTTTACACCACTGCCTATATGTGACAGAACCCAATCTAGAGGTGTTTTGGCTTTGTGGCAAATGTAATTACTTCTGTTAACACTAATTGAAGTATTTTACAAATAACCCAACTCCTGCTACACAATCAGCAAAATGCAGTGCATGTACTGACCAGAGTTCCCGTTAGAATATGTCTTCGCCGGTCAACATGTCCGTTAAAGTTTAAATCTTCCGGACAAAATGAGAAAAGTGCCGGTCAAAGGTCTTTGTTATTTATTGAGCTTTAAAACAAATTGATATGATTCAATATTAAACTAATTATAGTAGATTAACTACATTATTCAAAAGTGTACAGTAATTTACAATAACACTGGAATAATAAACGGAGCGCTCTCCCTCTCCTGACAGCCCGTCAGTATCATGCAGCTCGCGGATCAGTAATGAGTGACCCGACAGTAAAACTAAACATATCTATAACTAGTTACGGTAGTTTGAGAGGTCATTAAAATAGCTACGTGTGATATTCTAACCTGAAGTGTGTGTTTTGTCCGCTCACCGCTGCATGTGATTATGCAGAGCTGCGTGTCGACTCGTCAGCAGCAGCTGATCTCTCTCTCCCGTCAGATTAGACTTCACTCGCGTTTATGTCCATATCGATCAGATCCAGCTAGTTCTAGCTAATGATAGGACTACCTGCTTATTAAAAGACACCTAAACAATAAGCGTCGCTATGCAACCGGGTGAGGCCGCAAAGTATAGCGCAGCATTATGCATTTGTTTACATGCCCACCGGAACCCCGAGGCATTACCAACAGATCAACGCACAATCAACCCATACAGGACATCTCTTTCTCCACATTAAGTGTTAGACATTAGAATTGACTATTCTTGTCTGTCACATACTCTTTTGTCTGTCACATAAATGGCGCAAGTTGCGCAACTGATGTGGTATTGCGCTAAACGGACATTATTTTGAACGGACACTTTGACCGGAGAGATTTAGATTTACCGGTCTTCAGCATATTTTACCGGTCGTAGTCCGGTAATTACCGGCTAAAGGGAACTCTGGTACTGACTAGTATACAGCATGAAATCTAGCTACACTTTTAGAGTTGATTTGCTACTCCAAATTGTTGTTTGGAGATGGTGTGTAAAACAAACAGAAAAAGACTAATTGTGTGGTTTGTTAACTTGTAATAAATGATGAAATGGTGATGGTCAGTGTGTGGATGTGTGCAGGTCGCAGTGAGAGCCTGCTTCCTGGGAGTGATCTTCGGCTGTGGACTGATAATCAGCTGCTCTGAGACAACGTGGACACACTTCGGCTGGTACTCAATCTCTCTTCATGCTCAATTTACTATTTAAAGTAGTGTTACGCTGCTGTATGCATTTCATTTTTGAGTTTTTTTATCTAATTCATTTTAGGTTTAATATTTATTTTCGTTTTAAACGTAGTTCCGGTGTTAATAAACGCTACCCTGTCAACTTGTTATTTTATGTTGAACGGGGAGGCATACTTTATTAATCCCCTTGAGGAAATTCATATCATTTCAAATACACACATGCACAAACAGGATTTATGGACACTAGGCCTGACAAACACATGCATTGATGGAGAGGTGTCAGAGCAGCTGCCATGTTTTGTCCTGCTCAAGGACTCATTTGCAGTGCCCAGGAGTTGAACTTGCATCTGATGTATCCCGTTATCACACAATATATATACATGTTTCTTTTGGTCCGTGCGGGGACTTGACCTAATGACCTTCCAGATCCCAAGCCAAGCCCCTATAGCGCAGCGCTATGTCACTTCCTGGCAAATTTACGGCCCGCCCACTTTCCGGTGAAAACAAAGGTTGCGGTCGAATTGTCAGTTTATCTTAGGAACCTTCCTAACGGAGTGAAATGACCCGGAAATACCTCAGTCGCAGCCATGATAAGAGCTGTTCAATTCTCTATATCAGCGGTTTTCAAAGTGTGAGGCGCGCCTCCCCTGGGGGGCGACAGAGAGCTTCAGGGGAGGTGCAGCGTGAGAAATAAATAACGAGAAACAGTGAAATCTAGCTAGTTAACTTCAGCTAACTTTATGCGAGCGGCAACATGGATCGACCTTTAGTGAAGTGACCTAAAGTGAGAGAGGAGACAGCGGCCGTTTCTCAATCTCGAGGATACTGGCTTCCAAGCCAATATTTCAAGGATGCTAGGTCATCGGGTGCCGCCGAAGTACTGTTCCAATGTCCGGCATACTTGGAATTCCACCGAGGCCGCGTCCTTGGTTTGGGGGAAATTTCGAGGCTGCACGTGGGTAGACTTTGCGTCCTTAAACGAGAAGCATTCGGACCCAAGTAGACGGAAGGAATGAGGTAGTTGCGGTCTACAATGACAGAGAAGAGTCTGTCAAGTTTGGCTGTACTCAGCATTGAATCAAAACGCACTAAAGCTGTAGATCTTACTCAGTTTGTGAGGCGTTTTGCTGAACAAGATGGTAATCGCCGCATTCAGCTGTAATAGACATGTCAACTTGATGCTCTGCTCACGGATGAGCATAACAAACTGTTAAGATGATGACCGTACGTGTGTAAATATATTGTTTTCTTTGAGGGGGTCTGCCCCCAAAAAACTGTTTTAAGTCCTGAGAAAGTCAAATCAGACGGTGTGTAAAACTTCACTGCCCAGCCAACAGAAAGTAACCACTTTGATTTAACTAGGCCTGTAGGCAGGGCCGCCCCTGGCCAACTTGGGGCCCCAAGCGACATTGTGAAATGATAGTCAAGACAAAACATGCTTATGACATGCTCAAAAACTGATATTTCTTAAATCTGTATTCTAGTTCCCTCTGTCAGCAACGTATCAACAACTACACACACATTTCTATCAGTATTTCTCTGTGTTGTGGTTGACATGATGATGACTGTTAGGAGTTAAGGGGAGAGGCTGAGCATCACCATGAAATGTGCAAATTGACATAAAAATGAATAAAAGGGGAAAAAATGCTCCATGTTTTTTAAACTGTAAACTTTAACTGTTACAGACAGTTTATCACTCTTCCTCCTGTACATTAGCAGATAAAAGGCATAACATACTTGAATGAATGTTAAATAAAGAATGCTGGAAATAACTGCAACCCCATTAGCCTATATGTTATGCAGAGACTGCCTTCTTCATGTCCTGAATTGCAGCTGATGTTTTAATATGGCAATTTGAATACAACATTCGCAAGTTGTACATTTGACTGATACAATAACCCACCTTCGAGTGATGCTCTAGTTTCTTCATGTTTTGTTGTTTTTCCCTCTTGCTTGCGCCGGACTGAAACTGTCTTTTCACCGACATCTCTTCACCTGCACTAGTGACCATATCAAAGCCGTGATTGGTCAGATGTCGATTCATTGCATAGGTGTCGGGTTACAGATGTGCTCCCCTTGTCACCTCTCACTCTCGCGGGGGGTGCGCGGAGAACTGAGCGGAGAACTGCGCACAGCAGCTGAGGCCCTCTGGGCGGGGCCCCCTGCGCAAGGCGGGGCCCCATGCAGCCTGCGTGATTAGCCTGTAGGGAGGGGCGGCCCTGCCAGTAGGTAAGGGCTTTCCACTGGGTAATAATACCCCTGCATTATAGCAACAATAATAATAATAGCAATAATAATTGGGAGGGGGGGCGCGGCTGTTCTTATGTTCTCTGAGGGGAGGCTCACCTTCCCACACTTTGAAAACCCCTGCTCTAGATGAAAGGAAAGGAGGTTTGAAACTTCCTTTATAACCTCCTTTAGCTTAGGAACCACTGGACCTCCCTTTACGAAAGGAGAGGAGAAAATGCTGCCCCACAATGCATTGCAGCCGCAGCATTTGCCGTCACTCAACAGTCGGCCGTTCACGGAAACAACCGATTATGACGGAGAAATGATATCATGAAAGTTACGGTGCTTATTAAGCTTTTTAAAACGTATGTGGTAAGTTGCCAAAGTGCTTTTTTCTGAACGTTCATCAGTATTATAATCAAAAAGAGAAATATAAACGTTAGTTTTTACTGAAATGATCAAATAAAGTCAACATTTCACAGTCTTTACTGAGCTGTGTGGGGTTTGTTCAACTTGTAAAAGATGTTTGAATGGTGATATACACAGTGATAGATGTTAAGGACTAACGTTTATAATAAATACATCTGTATTGATTTTAAGATCTTTTCATACAATCATACGTATTGGGATCATTTGTATTAATGTGGACCGGAGGGAGAGGGGGACGAGCATAAGTTTCACTTTCCTTCTTTATTTCAATTCCAACTTTGGTCATGAAGAATATGTTTCTCTGTTGTCCACGTTCATAAAGCATAAAGCAACAGCATCAGAGCACGGTGCAGAGTCTCTAGATGAGTTTACAGAAGTCCCTCGTTCTTATTAAACATCCATGTTGTAGTCCGCTGTATAGAAAACTGTAGTTTCCATAGTTTCCCCACAGCAGCAGACGCACATTCATGACGTCCGCTGGCGCATCATAAACACGTCGGATAGTGAAAGTGCAGTCGATTCTCTAAAGTACCGCGGTCTCTTCTCCTGAGTCCTTTTGAATTCTCCTATCCACTATCCCTTAACCCCGTGACGTTTCACTCAGAGGTCAAGGAATAGGAGATAGGGTTAGAACTTAGCTGATTTTTGGAATATTCGACCGCAACCCAAGCATCAGCACCAAGTGGAAAAAATAGTTCTATCATCCCTAGAAGCTGCCGAGTCGTTTATTGCATGTCAAACAAAAGATCAAATGTTCCATACCTCTACCTAGTTAAAAGGACATCTATCCCCTATTGATTTCAATCAAACAATAAATCGATGGTGACCATCAATCTCCAATAACATTATTTCATTGTTTGCCTGTCTGACCATCATAATTGGGCTCATTGTAGATACAAAAATAGTTTTTCATTTTTTGACGTGATTGCTGAAAAACTTCAGAACCTGTATTTACCGCCACTCAAATGACTGCGAGTGTTTTCACCCAAAAAGGGGCGGGGCTCTCATGTATGGGCTGAGCTACTGCCTGCCCTTTAACACACTGAAACCATATGATAATTCCTTGCTTAGTTTTCTACAGAGATGCAGTGAACCTGTCTCATGTCTAACGTGTGTTTGTGGTCCAGGCCTGCTGCAGGTCAACATGTTATTAATAATACTGCTCTGCAGGTACCTGTGCTCCTTGTCCTTCTTCCATTACTCCGAGTACCTGGTGACAGCCATCATCAACCCCCACAGCCTCACCCTGGACTCCTTCCTGCTCAACCACAGTGTGGAGTACAGCCTGGCTGCCGTATCATCATGGGTGGAGTTCACAGTGGAGAAGCTCACCTTTCCAGGTTGGTGTGTCTTCAGTGTCCTGATCACAGATCTCAGAACTGTTGTGTGTACTTTTGTTGATACCACAGAAGAGGTTTGACTGTCAATCCAGTCATGTCCACTATCAGTGACCTCTGCTCTCCGATATCACATTTAAGAAGTTTGAGAATTAAAATGTGAGGATGATGCTGTGGTTGTTTGTTGTCAGTAGGGTTTGGGTTTGATGGTACATATCAGATCTGAACCCAGCACATCTTTCTCTGAATATTCAGTGTTCTAGATAAACAGTGCTGTGAAATGTAAGAATAGCAGTTTGGATGTGCTTGTTACTTCTTCCTCCCTATGTGACTCACACAGCAGTACTTCACTCAGTAGACAGCATTGTATAATTGTACACTGTAGTATTGTCAACACTTCTTTGCTGCATTATTAAATGCTAGGTCTGAGTTCAGCACCATGGACAGCAGCAAATAGAGACAAGTCCAACTGATGTCCTCAAACTGACCTCAGGTCAGCAAGTCAAGCATAAGGAGCATCAGGTGCTTTGCTGTAGAAAAACAATGAAGTCATATTTTATTTTCACTTGATGAGGGGAGGGTAACACTGAGTAACCTCTATAATTACAAAACATGTTAAAACATTTAAAGAATTGTTTTTAACAAACCATCAATACAAAAGTTAAATAATCTAATGATGTATTTTTATCTTCGGTCTTAATCAAACCTTTTTTACCTAAATGTAGCCTTTTACCTGAGCTTGGTGCAGAGAAATAGGATCGTGTTGAAGATTAGCTTGGTGCATAAGGAGCCATTGTGTTTGAAACCATGAGAACGTTTTGTGTTATTGTTTTGTTCTCTATTACACAGTTCTTTTTTTGGACTGCATTTTCACACTTGTCGAGTGGAACAGAACTAGGACATGAGCATCACATGATGTGTCCCAGAGTTTAATGAGGCTGTCCCCTCTCTCAGAGCTGAAGCAGCTGAACTGGCTGAGCGTTGTGGGTCTGCTGCTGGTGCTGTGTGGGGAGGCTCTGCGTAAGGCAGCCATGTTGACGGCCGGCTCCAACTTCAACCACATTGTGCAGAATGAGAAGGCCCAGAGCCACGTGCTGGTTACCAGCGGGGTCTATGCATACTTCAGACACCCCTCCTATGTGGGCTGGTTCTACTGGAGCACAGGCACGCAGGTGAGCGGCGCGTTGTCCAGCAACAATGTTACTGTAGCAACTTTTAATGTCCTCTGTTTCTCTGAAATAATGCTGCACCTCAGACTCATACCTCGTTTGGGTTATTCAGACACCCTTTCCTCACCATGATATTCATGAATGTCACAAATACTCAAGTACAAACTGTTAACCTTTTTTGTTTTTTTCATCAAATGGTGTACATTTAATTTTTACGATATTAAAATCTTCGTATTATTTTAACAAATAGTGTGACTCCGGCCATTTGATGATTGCAGAATGCCAATCTGGGATTTAGATTTCAGCATAGTTCCAACACTGTTGATGCTCGGAGCCTCACACTTAGTGAAATGATGTGATAGTTGGGGGTTGACATGTTGTGTGTACTGGTGTCTGTTGCAGGTCATGCTGTGTAACCCGGTGTGTATACTGGGCTACACGATAGCCAGCTGGCGGTTCTTCCGGGAGCGCATCGAGGAGGAGGAGCTCTCCCTCATCCACTTCTTCACCGAGGATTACGTGGAGTACAAGAAGAGGGTTCCCACCGGGCTGCCCTTCATCTCAGGCATCCGCGTCAACTAGTCCCAGCAGCTGGATGCTGGATGTAGACTTAAGCATCAGGGCAGGTCAGACCTGGGGGGTGCTGCTCTACCATGGCTTCGCCCTCCAGACGGCCCTGCAGCTCACAGCCTGAGTGACAGCAGGGGGGGGCAGGCAGCTGGGCTGCAGTTTTCTACCAACTTTTAAAATCCAGTTAAAGACCAGACAACCTCCACTGTACTACATGTTTTACTCTGTTTCTGTTTGCATGCTTCCACCATGCTTAGTGCTCTCACTGATGAAGACTGATTCTGCACTGGCCTCTGTGCCATCACATATCATCACACAGGGAGAAATGACCAAATATTTAAGAAGTCCCCACCACTGTCCTTTAGTCAACATTTCACTGTCTCTATTCACTGTTTGCATTGTTAACGTATAAAGATTAAAGAATAGATATCGTCAGTCAGTGACGCCCTTCAGAAGAGCTCTTCACAGATCCACTCCACGTCTAGTATCTGGAGCCATCCCTGAGGGCGGGTCACAGTGACGTTTTAGAGGTGTCAGGTCTACTAGGGCTCTCGGACTCCACAGCAGGTTTAAGCTACATATTTCCAGTAGTGTCCCTAATAATATGTACTTTTTAAGGGTGGATAAGCCTCTCGTACAGAATAGATGTTCCACTGAAACCTGAGATGTTAGAGTTCTTCAGAGTCAGTAGCTCTTTATCACCAGTGCATCCAAATAGCAGTAAAGGGACAATAGGTGACATTAGATTTTGTATTTAAGAATATATCTTCAAAAGCATTATTTAACAATGATTAAATTAAGAAAATGTGGAACAGTATATGTTTCTCTCTGGTTTTTGGGACCTACATATGATTTGTGTGGAAGGGGCGAGGGGGGGGTGGGGCTTAGGGGTCCTCTCAGGCTCCCCCCATAATGCCCACCACTGGAGGAATATTGGGTACCCACCACAGTGGTCCCATTGGACACACACACATAATGCTGTCTATACACACACATTCAGTTAAGGATACATGTGTGTAAGCACATGTGTTTAGGGGTGATGAGTGTGTAAAGTGACACACCTGTAGCACATGTGTGGAGGCTGGCGTAATGATAGGGCTGCACAACACTTTATCATGGGCCTGTATTAAAGACATTGTACCTGACTGAAACCTGTTGACTGATTACTGTGCATTGCTTCTCAACAGAGAAGAGGAAGTACTCAGATCTTGTCATTGAGTAAAAGTAGAAGTACCCTCTGTAGCAATACTCTGTCACAAGTAAAAGTCCTGCAATCAAAATGTTACTCGGGTAAAAGTAGAAAAGTATTAGCATCAGTATATAGTTAAAGTAGCAAAAGTAAAAGTAGTCCTTATGCAGATTGGTCCATCTCAGAATAATATATATGTTTTATAATTATTGATCATTAAAGTGTTATCAATTAGCAAAATAGTACTGTTCTTAATTTTGAGGAACTTGTACTTTTCAAGTTCCTCAAAATTAAGAACAGTACTTGAGTAAGTGTACTTCGTTACTTTACACCGTGGTTCTCAAACAGCATGTTTTTTAAGGCTGTGTCTTTATGTCATTAAGACAGGATTCACTAACTCGCTGTTCTTTGATGTTTAATGTCCAATGAGTTAAACATTCCAAGTGAACATTTGTAGTCTGATTACTAGAAAATGTACAAATAGTGCTCTCTGAAAAAGTCAGAGATGGTGCTGCCCCAAGACTCTGCATTTGTCCCGGCCCTCTAGGGGCGATGCTTTGCTCAGGAGCACCTCTTGTTTGTACGAACAGCACTCTCCCTGAACGAGTCAGAGACCTCTGATCAAATCAGAGAGCACTGGGTCCTCTGCACAAACAGGCAGTCTGTGTGCTCCTTTTAGAGTGTGTAGAGGGGTCCGGCAGGGCTGTGCTCTGTCAGGGATGCTCTATGCACTCTCCCTGGAATCCCTCCTGAGCAAAAATACGTGCCAATTCTCAAGGTCTGTTTTTACCTGGTTTTAATGCCACAGGGGGTGCGTTTTTTATCCAGAGAGGAGGGGGGGCAGGGCCTTGTCCACCTGGTCAGCCGAACAGCCACTTTTAGAACACAGTTTTTACAAAAATATCTGCCCGGCTGGTTTAGTGTGGAGAGATCAGCTGTATTCTCAGACGCGTGAGTAACCTGGGGCTGGATGCTGCTCTTTTTTTAACTCATTTCAACATTTTAAAGTGAAGTGGGCTACCTCCTTTTTATCAGGGTGTTTTTAAGTCTTGGGCCCTTTTTAACCATAAAAGGTGTCCAAAGACTGACTCTCTGCACTGGTTGTTAAAGGAGCCTTTAATCTACAAAGCCAGGCTGGACGTCAGCAGCAGCGAAACACCCGGCCTGATGGTGGCGCTGTGCCGATCCAGGACCCTGTGCCTACAGCAGCTGGTGGATGCAGTGGGGCCGCAGCTGAGCGATGCCCGGGCCCAGGGCTCTCTGCTGGGTCTAAACTGTCCAGGTGGCCAAGGCCGGATTAGTACCTGGGGCCCCTGGGCACTGAGACCTAAGGGCCCCTCAACCCACGTACCAACACTTAACAACACGCCTACCCAACATGACCAATATTTTTCATTTTCATTCAATCTGGCAAAAGCAGGGACGCAGCTACGTAGTTCAACCAAAGTAGGTCCAGCCTTTTCCCCTTTCAGTCAAAAAAAAGAAGCTATTTATTGGTGGGAAATGCTTTAATGCAGCCGTCACTCTCTTCCTTTTCTTTCTTTTTTCGCTAATACAATGTATGATGAGTGAGGTTGTGCCAAAAACAAAAATGTTCTTGTCACTGAGGGCCCTAGCTTGCTCAAGGGCCACTGGGCACATGCCCAGTGTGCCCATATAGTTAATCCGGCCTTGAGGGTCCTTCAACTCTGAAGCCAGAGCCTTTGCACATGAGAGAAAATACTTTTAACATGTTATGGCCACAGAAAAGGCAATCCAGACCCAGCAGACCCTTTCCCAGAGAGCTGACCGGCCCCCTGCTCAAGGTCACAAACCTCGTTCAAATGACAATACACAGAGCTGACAAAAAAATACTTAACATGAACATTGTGAAAAGCATAAATAAAGATGGACTGAAGGACAGGGCCTCCACTGTGTGGAGCACCAGACTGGATGCAGGAAACAGACCAGGCCCAGTGGAGGATTCTATATAAACCTCCCCTCAAAAAATATACTGCCAGCCTCCAGTGGAGAATTTGACATGGTGCGATAGCCTCCAATTCTTTTATTTCTGTTATTAATCCTGCTGTTCTCAACAAATGTCCATTTTGTGATTTTAGAGAGACTGTTTTTCATGTTTTACAGAGTGCAAGAGACTCACAGGTTTCTTCTTTCTTTTAACATTGGTTTTTAGTCTTTTAGTGTAGTTTTTACCTAGAGCGTTTTTATCATTGGGGCTCCCTACAAAAAAACAAGAAAGGAAAAGTGGCAGCTCCTAAACTTCCTCTCAGGTGAAGCAAAAATGGCAATTTATTTAGGCAGAAAAAACTGAGTTTAACCTGAGTGGAAAACAGAGAAGGGCAAGAGGCAAAAGCGATCTGGCTGTGTAACATCAGAGCCAGACTGGCTGGAGCAGAGGTTTGAGAAACACATCGGGGATCTAGACCCTTTTAAACAGCGTTGGTGCTACAAATACATTGTATGTTCTGTTTTAAATGATGAACGGCACTTTGCACAAGTTTTAATTAGATAGTTTTTTATTAATTATTTTAAGTAAATCGATTCTTTGCACAATTAAGCACTTTATTTGAAGTATATGTACAATTGTTGAATATGTAAATAAAGTGTTTTTAGCAAAGTCAAAAAACTCTTCTTCTGCTTCTCCTTTTTCTTCAGTGGAACAGGCTTGTTTGACATAAGGTATTGATTGATTTTCAAAAACATTAAAACATCGTAGTCTCATGTAAGTAGGGGGAATGTCTGGGATACACATTTAACAGTTTGGTTCCCAGGTTCATTGATGGATGACTGTCAGCACGTTGAGTTTTTTAATCAATCTCAGAGTCACGGATCAATCGGTAGTTTGGCGTTCGATTTCTAGAGTTAACGCATGCGCACAACCTGCCCTTCCTTTCTGCTAGCTTCTCCGCCATGGCGCCTATTGTAAGTAAAGTCGCGTGTTAATTAATCCACCCAAATTGTGTAATTTCGGTTGTGAAAGCCAGATTAAACAGTCGGGACGAGATGGGAGCTTTTGTATAACACCCATGGTCCGAAGAAAGGCTTTGTGCGTTGCTCTAAAGTGTTTTATTAGCACATAGGTGGCCTATATATGCGGGTTAGCTAACGTTAGCTTCATAGCTTCGGAAGGACTAGCTCACCACGTTGTTTTGTCAATGTGGCCGTCCGGAGCACTGTGACACATATTTAGTTTAACAACTTGAACAAATGGTGTAGTTGTAGAAGAGACTTGTATTTCCCGCTAGCGAGTTAATAGTTGTGTTGTTGCTTGGTCACCTGGACGCTAAAGCTGGTGGTGTGGCCATGCGGAAGTCTTGAAATGTAATAATCAGAAGTAATTATGTTTTAAAATATGTTGAAGTCAACAGCAGGCCTACATGGCACAGCCATAGAAGTCATAAACATACTCTTTATTTGCAGGGTGCCTATGGGTGCTGAACATATAAAAACACTTGTGTGGTGTTTTAAATGAAGGGCTTGAATGGTTGGTAACATATGATCTCTAGTCATGCATCATATGATATGCACCATACCTTGAAACGTCAAACTACTTGTTTTACTTGAACATGGGTGCTGAACATATAAAAACACTTGTGTGGTGTTTTTAAATGAAGGGCTTGAATGGTTGGTAACATATGATCTCTAGTCATGCATCATATGATATGCACCATACCTTGAAACGTCAAACTACTTGTTTTACTTGAATGTGTGCCCTTGTGTAGGAAGAGAAAAATACATTGTGAAAAGTTTAGTTCTGCCACTTCAAGTTGAGTGTTTTGTGTTTTATTAAGCAGAAAAAGCAGATCACCGGCAAAGGTGGTAAGAAGAAAAAGCAGGTCCTGAAGTTCACCCTGGACTGCACCCACCCTGTGGAAGATGGTATCATGGATGCAGCCAACTTTGTAAGACACCCTCTTTAGATGTTCTCAATGTGCAGCTGTGATGTGTAGCAGTCTTTATACCACTAATAAGATGTCTGCTGACTCGCCCCAGACAAGAAGAAATTACACTTCAATATGAAAGTCTTAAAATATGATTATTAATCGCCCTCGTGAACATGTGATATTTGCCAAAACATTGCTGATGAAGCATTGAAATCTCAGAATAGTGTACAGCCGCTCAGTGATGTGAGGTTTTCTCTAACGTGTTGTTCACAGGAGCAGTTTCTTCAGGAGCGTATCAAAGTGAATGGGAAAGCCGGTAACCTGGGTAACGGTGTGGTCTCCATCGAGAGGAGCAAGAGCAAGATCACAGTGTCCTCTGAGGTGCCCTTCTCCAAAAGGTAATCAGGCACTCTAGTTACCTAGTTATATGGTGTACTGCTTTGTGGACATTTTATAAACTGAACTAATGAGTGGTGCAGGGATTAGTCCTTAAATCCTGGAAATGAGTCAGCATTTCACCACTAAATGAAATAAGACCTGTGGTTGAATCAAGCTGGAGAGAACACATTTTGTCCTACAACATAAGCGTGTCAGTCAGCGTTTCCGCCAGGGGGGCGTCTTGCCGTCATTTGACGCCCTTATTCAGCTCGGCACGCCCTGAACTCGAGCCGAGGGCGTCCAAAAATATTAATAATTCGAGAGAAGATCGAGAGTTTTTATCGCTTGAAATGACGACAAGGACATCCATCTGTTGGAGGGGCAAAGGAGTCTGGTGGGATTATTTTCGGAGTATTGAAGATAGTTTCCCCGACATCGAAGGTGCCTGCTACAGGACAACACAGAACGTGCGCGATGTGGACGCGATGAGCAGTGCTAGTGGAGCACGCGCATGAGCTGCGAGCACCAGAGTCTCGCTGTGGCGAAACTGAGGCTCCGTGGTAAACTGTGGTAACATGAAGAGCCGAAACAGCCGGCGCTTTAAGAGAGCCGAGCCAAATGATCCGGCTCACTAACGTAAAAAGACAGTATCTATAAGGGACGGCTCAAGTCAAAATTCAAGCACCCATCCCCCCCGCTC